AGATGTGCACATCATCTAATCCAGATAGAAGTATGGGGAGTATAGGAGAAGGAGGAATGATTAGTGGAAGAACTGAGATCACTGAGATGAAGAAAATGATGATCGAAATGAATCGGGAAAAGATAGAATTCCCAACATGCATAAATAATAAAGTGGGACCAGTACTTAAAATTGAAAGATTTATTGATAGCAGTCAACAATGTGTATTGGAATGGAGCAGGAAGTTCCGAATGATAGTTAAACATTGTAAATTAAGTGATAACGAAGCAATAGATTATTTATATTTATTACTAGATGATAGGTATCATAAATTAATAGAACATAAAAGAAGATTAGAGAATTGCTTAGAAGAACTAGCAAGAGAGTCGTATAATCCTAGTAGATTTAGTATGATTCACGAGAGTTTAAAAAGATTAAAAGTAGGAAGAAATATGAATGTATTAGAATATTATTTAAAATATAAAGAATTAGTGGGAGAATCTGATCTTTGTGTACCTCCTCGTGAAAGATTTACAGAGAGAGAGCTTACTGACTTATTTGTCCAAGGTTTACCAAGATGGATGGCAATTGAATTTATCAGATTAGGGTATGCAAGTATTGAAGAAAAGGCACACATTTTGAGACAGTTAGAAAGTCAACATACTTATTCGTTTAAGGATGAAAGAAAGCAAAGTAAATGGTGTGATTATCATAAATCACATTTCCACAGTAATGAAGAATGTAAAACACAAAACGATAAATCTAATAAAGAGAAAAAGGAATTTGATAAAAGATCAGATAAATCTATTGGTGTGATAACTGAACCGGGAACCAACTTAGAAGAAATAAGCTTAGGATGTAAAATTAATGGATATCAGGATACAAAGGCTTTAATAGACACAGGTGCTAGACAAACCTTTGTTAATGAAAATTTGATTAGAGGAATTGGATTAGAAACTAATCGAATCAGTAGAATTGTTAAAGTAGCTGATGGAAAGGAGATACAACTTACAGAGGAATGTGAGTTGAAGGTAAGTTTTGACCATTCACCAAATGTAGAATATAAGATAACAGCAACAATATTCCCAAATTTGACACATGGAATTATTTTGGGAATGGAATTCATAAGGGAAAATAATGTAATTTTAGACTTAGGAAGTGGATTAATTAAAATTGATAACAAGTATTTTGAAATACCTGGTTGGAGTTTTGAAGAAAAAGAAAGTCCTGATAAAATAATGAGTACAGATGTTAGAACTATTAGTGAAGTAGAAACCAGAATTTCAGAAGTAATTAAAGAATTTAAATTAAGAAATCCAGAATTTGGTTTATTAAAAGGTTTTGATCATAGAATAATGTTAACTAATAAAGAACCTATTCAGATGAAATATTATCCAATACCCTATGCGTTATATGATGGGTTAAAAGAGGAATTAGCAGAATTAGAAAGAAATAAAGTTATAAGAAAAAGTAATTCTCATTATGGATTACCAAGCTTTGTAATTAAGAAACCCAATGGAAAAGTACGTTTAATCACAAATTTTATAAAATTGAATGATATAACTGTGAAGGAAGTATATCCCTTCCCTGACATGAATGATTTGTTATTAGGATTAGAAAAAGCTGAATATTTTTCACAAATTGATCTTGATAGGGGATTTTATCAAATAGAAATTGCTGAAGAAGACAGATTTAAAACAGGATTCGTTTTGCCATAAGGACATTACGAATATTGTCGATTACCTATGGGAATGGTAAACTCTCCCAGGTCTTTTCAGAAAACAATGGAAATATTATTAAATGAGTTTGAGTTTGTAAAAATCTTCGTAGATGATATTCTAATCTTTAGTGAAAACCTTGAAAAACATTTAGAACATATAAGAAAAGTATGTGAAAGAATTATTAGCAAAGGTGGTAAAATAAATTTTGAGAAAAGTCATTTTGGTTTAAAAGAAGTGAACTATTTAGGAATGTTTATAAGTAAATCAGGAATAAGAGCAGATATAAAAAGAATAGAAGTGTGGAAAGAAAAGGGAATAACCAGTAAAAAGAAATTAAGGAGTTTTCTAGGAATTACAAATTGGTATAGAAAATTTGTACCATTAATGAGTGAACTAACAAGCAAATTAAATAAGAAATTAGTCAAAGAAAATAAGGAATTTAAATGGGAAGAAGCAGATGAATTAGACAAAAGAAGAATATTAAAAGCAATAAATGAAAACACCTTATTAAAGCATATAAATACAAAGGAAAATTTTACATTAAGTACAGATGCATCTGAAATTGGTATAAGTGGAATATTAAGACAAGAATCAGGGGTAGTTGGAATATATAGTAAGAAATTATCAGGATCAGAATTAAATTACACAATACCAGAGAAGGAACTTTATGCAATAATCAAAAGTGTTTTGCATTTTAAGAAAATAATATGGGGTAGAAAATTTGTAATAGAAACTGATAGTAAGGATATTGTAACCTTGAAGAATAAAAATGATAACAGGTTAAATAGATGGATGAGCATACTAGGCGAGTATAATTATAACTTCCAACATATCAAAGGAAATGAGAATAATATGGCTGATGCTTTAAGCAGAGGAGAAATTCGATTAATAAGATCTGGAGAAGTGACAAACTGGAAAGAAAAATGGAAAAAAGGGGAAAGAGATGGAAAAGGAAGAATTATAATCAAGGAAGAGGATGGTGAAGAATTTTTAGAGGAGTTACACATAATTTTATTACATGCAGGTGAAACAAAATTATACAATAGTATTAAAACATACTATCAAGTAGAAGGAGTCAAAAAAAAGATAGAAAAGATATGCAAAGAATGCAAAGAACAGAAACACCAAAGAAATAACTATCATACAGGAAAAGGAATTTTATTTAAGGAAAATTGTAATGATACAGTAAGCAGTGACATAGTGGGACCTTTTCCGTTGTTAAAAGGGGGTAAGAAAGTAAACTTTTATGGTATAACGTTTATTGATTTATGCTCCAGGTATAGTAAGGTAAAATTCATGACAAAAATTAGAGGAGAAGATGTAATATTAGCATTTGATGTTAAATGGATTAGTGAATTTGGTAAACCAAAGGTTTTATATACTGACCAAGGTAGACAGTATATTTCTGAAACATTGAGAAAATATTTAGAAAAAGAAGGAATTGAATTAAAATTGAATACTGCTTATAATCCAGCAGGAAACGGAGTGAGTGAAAAACTGAATCAGACGATAAATTTCTGTTGTAGGCTATATGAATTTAAGAATTTAGAAGAACTTGAAGAAATTATTGAAATTGGATTTAACAGTAGTACCTGTAGAACTACTGGATATGCACCTTCGGAAATCATGAAGGGTATGAATTTATTGGATGTAGAGGATAGAATTATCAAGGTAAACATGGAAGAAGTGAAGGAAAGGATGCAAACAGCCCATAAATTTAACGAAGAGGAAGAAAATAAGAATAAAAAGAGATTGATTGAAGCTAAGGTTAACGATTTAGTGTACCTTAAGAATGAAATTAGAGGAAAAACAGATGCATTGAACTTAGGACCATTTAAAATATTAGAAGTAGGAAAAATGGGAAATGCAGTAAAAATTGATTATGGTAGAAAAACGGAATGGGTTAATTTGAGAAGAGTAATTAATTTTAAAGAAGGGGAGATTGCAGTATCTTAACTACTGCAATTTAACAAAAATCTGTAGTTTATTAAGTTATATTTATTCATTTTAATTCTTTTGTAAAAATTTGATGTAAAGATTTATTTTGTTTAAAAATTTTTACCCATGAAATTGGAAGACAACAGACCAAGTAAACAAGACAACGTAAATGAAACAACAGACATAGATACAAATGAAGACATAAGGGAAACCTTTAAAGGAATATATATAGCGGACAGTGAATCCTCAATTAATAAACTTACTTCAACATCCTCCACTCTTAGCTTCGGCAGTACTTAATATAATCTTCATCTTTCATAACATTATTACTATGATCTAAATACTCTTTCAATTTATAATCATGTTCACTCTTTCCAAATATTACTTGTTGTTTTCCAACTAAACTATTTAATTTTATTATAAAATTCTCAATAACGTTTTCAATTTCACTCTTATAATTATTAAAAAAATAATTAAAAAAATTTTTAAAAAATTTATAAGAAAGTTCTTTGTCATAAATTTTCAATTTTTTGGTTTTAAATTATTAAATTTACTATTTTGATATGTTTTTATTTCTCTAACAAATCTAATATTTGGATTGGTTGCATCTATATTACTTACAGTATAAAAACCATAAACATATTTATAAAAAGCTAAGTAAATTTGAAATTTCATATTTATAAGGGTTTAAAATTTTTAAATAATATTTTAAACTATAAAATCATATTTTTTATTAAAAAAGTATCTTTTTAATAAAAAATATGATTTTATAATTTATTACTGTGGTGGTTGTTACCACCTTGCATGCTTACGTAATTGTTTAAAATTGATCTATTTGTATTCATATTTTATTAATTAAATTTATGGGTTAAAAATTTTAATAAAAATTTAACAGCTTGAAATATTTATATATAAACTTTTAAAAATATATATAAATTTCCAAATTCTGATAATAACTTAAAGCTATTATTATAGTTGTGATTCTCATCACAACAATTACTGTCGTAAAATCTTAAAAATTAAGTTTTTAGTTAGTTGCTAAAAAGGGTATTTATTTGATAAAAAAAATTAACTCATGAAAGTTAATAATACTGAGACAGAGAGATATAGATTATACAATACAAGACAACGAAATAATGTTGAATGAATAAACAGTTAAGATACACCTGGTAGTAATAGGTTTAATAAACTTAGTTATTAATCTTCTACCAATTTCGGCAATTACAATTGCTTTTGTTACCTGAATTAAATATTTAAATATTTAAAACATTTAAAGAGTGTCTAACAAAGGAAGATCATAGTTGAAAAGGTATGAAAAGCGATCTAGTTTAGTATATTATCTCAAAAGGTGAAGTTAAACAGAACCTCAATAAATTTTTAAAATTTTTTATATAAAATTAAATTTAAACCCAAAATATTTATAATATATTGTTTAAATTTTATTACAAAAATATTTTATTCATTCAAAATTTTAATTATTATTAAACCCAATTCTTGATATTTTTATGTATTAAAGATCTTTATATTTAGACATATAATTTTTTTTTCACTAACCATTATTTTGATCAAAATTTTAAATTCTGTTAATTTATTTATTTTTAACCACTATTAATCAAAGTTGTTTTTATTAACGAAGACATTTGTCAACATAATTACGTTTGTGACGAATTGATAAACATTTAATGAAAATTTATTTAGAATCCTTAATTTTAAACAAGTCAATCAAAGAATTTTAAAGAAAACAATTAAATGACACGAGAACAACAATTAAATAATTTCTAACATAATTATTGACATAAAGTTAGACAGGATATGATTTAAAGTTATTAAATGAATCTTTTAGGTTTTTATAAATGTAAATTACTTTATTTAATTCTATTTTATAATCTTTTAAACAGAATTTTATAAACAAAATAAATTTTTACATTTAGATTTATTAAGCCTTTATTATATCATTATCTTCAGTAATAGTTTTATCAATTTGTATACCATCAATTTCATTAATAGTATCATCGGTGTCAATTTCTATATCACTAGAATCAGGTACATTCTCAAGATAAATTGACAGTTTTTCTTCTTCCTTTTCCCTTGAAAACAATATTTTATCTATAAAACCATATTTAACTATGTAAATTAGTATTGTTGCTATTGAAATATAAATTGTTAAGAGAAAAAGATTTTTAAACGATTCTAATTTTTGATCAAATTTAGCTTCAGGGTTTTTAAGATGTCCATCAAATAATCTACCAAATATAGTTCCAGATGCTATAGCTCCCAAAGCCAAAAAAGTACCCTGATACATCATTTGAGAAGTTGCCATTAAATTAGGTGGTGTTAACTTAACCGCAATTGCAAATCCAGCTATCTGTGTTATTCCGAAGTAAAACCCTTTTAATAATTCTACTGCACAAGTGTAAGCATATCCATGTTTCATTCTTTTATCTACTCTGTAATAAAGATAAACTCTAAGAACAGAAATTAACTGAGCTACTAACAAAGGTTTAAAGTAACCAAACATTCGAATTATTGACTGAGAGTAATACATAGTGATTATTTCAAAGAATGTTCCTGCCATAGTAATTGTTGAAACATAGTTGTTATTAAATATCGAAATTACCTTTTTAAGTATTAAAGGTGTGTTCTTTGGTATGTCATATGGTTTTACTTGTATGATAGAAATATAAAAATTAGAGAAGTAACTAGTCATAGCATTTCTTGTAACTGCATTTAGAAAAAGAATGAATAAGAAAAATGCGTATTCCTTATTCTTTAACAATTCAACAAATCCTGTTGTTCTTCCTCTGTATTTAGGTGATTCTGGTATGTTTAGAAAGTAAAGTAGCAGATTAGATAGAATAGCAAAGAAGACTGTATAATAGATTAAGTTGTGCCAATGAAATACTTCTTTACCTTTATCATATGACTTTACTAAAGCTTCTGCTAAATATGTAGCAAATAAGTATGCTACAGTTCCAAATGCTCTATGTTTACCATAACCCTCTAAGGTCCCTCCTATTGACTCTTTGAGATAATCAAGGATTAACTTGTCATTTAATGGTTGTTTAGGCATGTTAAATACCTGGTATACAAACATTAATCCCCAGAAATACAATGCATATGGTGGAATTACAAAAAACCCACAGAATAACACTACAGTTGTGCATATTAACAACATTAACATCTTCTTATGCTTACCTGTTCTATCAGAATAAGATCCAAATACTACGTTAGTAAAAAATGTCATACATACTATGTATGCATTGTATTCTCCGTATTCTCCTATAGAGATTTCAAAGAACTTAGTTGCAAAGAGAAACTTGATCTGATGTAATGTATAATACTGTAGGTTTATTATTAATTGCATCATTTTTGGTATTATAAAATATGTCTTCTCTAGTTTATTAAAAATATTCATGGCCTTTAATATTTATTTTTCTTTTATAAAAAAAAGTAAACAAATAAAGTTAATTAAATTTTGTTTGTTTATTTTCAATTATTACTGGTTTTTAAGTTTTTGTTTAAAAATGATATAATTTATTCAATTATAAATAGTATAATTTTAGATATAAAATAATAAATTTTTATTAAAAAGTAATTAATTTGGTTTTTAATATTAAATTAATTCAAATAAAAATTTATATGATTTAATTAAAAAATTTTAAAGTACTAAAAGT